TGTTCTCCACTTTATATTTCTGGCATAAAAATCAATGGTATCCCAGTTCATCTTGCTCAAAACCTTTGTTTCTCTCAGATCATTTCTGGGATGTTTTGAAACATTTAGTGTCTTCTCTAATCATAGTAAAGAACTGATCATGACTCTGACTCAGTCTCAGACTTCTGCAAGAGACTGTGGACATTTAGATTCAGTGCTCACCACATAAATACATTAAATAAAACCCAGCCAATTTCCTTTCTATTTGTCCCTCTAGCTAGTGCTCCCTTTTCACCAAGCATACCACCAACCATGACCCTGTGGTTCCCACCAGCCTCCCGTGACACCACTGAAATCTGCATGTCTAGAAAGGCTCTGTACATACCAGGAGATGTTCAGCACGGTGCCATCCCAGCACACCTGGATCTCTTGCAGCTGTGTTTCCCTGTTCTCTTCGAGATTAGCAGGCACTCTTGCATTCAGCTTCAGGAGGTAGCGGCATTTGCCTTCATCTTTCTAGCATTTTCAAAACAGCTCCCACTTCTCCTATGCTCCCACTTCTTGTCTGTCTTTTGAGGGGACTTTTGTGACTCTTTACTACCCTGTCTCTCCCAGCATTTTCCACCCTGCACACCTCTGGTGGCACTCAGTGATCTGTCCTGATCTTGCGGGGCTCTTTTATTCCTCGCAGTGACTCAGAACTTTCCACACTTGACTGCTCCCTCTTGGTCTGCTCTACTGTCTCTGATTGATTGCTTTTCTAACACTGTCCTGGACATCCTGAGCCACCCAAACTTCACAGGATGAAACAGAGCACCTCATTTTTCCTTACACACAATCTCATTCCTTCTTCTCCATTTTAAGCCCCCCCTCCCTTTTTTTTTCTTCCTGTCACTCGGAATCTCAATATGGGTGCTTTATGCACCCCCCTTCTGTTTTCTATTTTCTGACTAAGAGAGCATTGAATGTATCCTTTTCCTTCTCTGTGATGGCTACACACATATCTGCATGACTCCCTCCTCCCTTCTCTGGGCTTCTCACTGCTCATCATCTGCATGACTGTAACCTCTTCCCTTCTCTGGGCTTCTCACTGCTCATTTTCTGCTCCCTCAAAGCATTGCATCCGCATCACTTCCCTTCATGCTTACTTCACTGGATCCATCTGCACAGCCAAATTCCTCCACTAACTTCACTCCAGATTACAGGACCTCCCTTAGAAGAGATAATACAACTCAGTACCTCCGCCTACCTTTTCACAGGTTATACTTTTCACAGGTTCTGCCTACCTTTTCCTTAGATTATACTTCTATCTGTTCTGCTATTCTCCTCCTCCACGCATTTGCCAGATCAGCTACTGGCTTAGAACGATTGCCGTCTTATCCAACATGAATTTTCCTTCTCCAGCCCTGCCAGTGCAGCAGTGCAGAGAACATGCACAGTAAGATCATGAGTAGGGAAACAGGAGTTATAATTGGAGTTGAAGGACATTAAATAAATTAAACAAACAAATTTCAAAAAAATAAAAACACACACACATATCTACACATATATACATATAAATATTTTTGGCCAGCAGGGCAGGGTGGTCCATAGTGGAAAATGATGTGTAGTTCCGTTATAGAAAATGCTAACCAGTGCTCTCTTTGGATGCTTTCCAGGTTGTGCCACTGTGAGGATGCACAGACCTCATGAGATCCTCACTTCTCCGCATCTGGGCTAATTACAGATTTCACCTGTTATTTTTCAATTTTAAAGGTAATTGTTATGCCTTTATCTTTCCTGTTGAACTTCAGTTCACAAAATTATTTCCCTCTAAATCCCCAAAGGTCTAGGAGTGGTATTAACCAATGGAAATATTGGCATTTTCCAATCCTGAATAGGGTACCAGTATCAAGTGAGTAAACAAGCTCAGCCAGCATAGCTGGGACAACAGTTTCATTACTTCTTAGCATTCTGCAGGAAACTCATAGCTGCCCATGCTGAGAAAAAAAAAAAAAAAAAGGATTTAAAGATTGTGCCAGTATTGTGTCCTTTTTAGATGATGACCATAAAGAACTGCTTGCATGAGGTGGTATGAACTCCTGCCCCGTGGTACTAGATGGTGCAAGGGTAATGGTGGGATGTTTTGGGAGTCTGCTGGCTGGAAGCACCTATGCCCTATTCATTGCTTTTCTATAGTTAGTAGACTATCTCCTGACAAGAGATATACCCTTCTCAGAGTATCTTATAGTTTGAAGCTAAACAATCAAACATAAGAGGAAGCCAAGTACTTTGATGTATACCTATTAATCTGCTAAGATAAACAAGTAATTAAATTATATATTCACAAGTATACTGCATACACACATGCACATTAAAAATGGGAAACTATTTGTTTCGTGCTGTGAAAAGACTTACAGGACAAGATTGCAAGAAAATAGCAAAAGATGTTGATGTAATCAAGTTTCAGGTGAATTCAATTTATCTAAGAAAACCTATTTTTAACAAGTGGCTTCATTGCCTTGAATGATAAATAAACCACCATAATAGTATAAAGTACCTGCTTCTGTGCATTTCCCTTCATTTAATATCTGTGGGGTTTGCCGTCACCAGCAGCACATAAAAGGGAAGAAAACACTCAACATTTTGTACAGCATTCAAATTCTTCCCTTGGCTGTAATGGCATAAGCAGCAAAAGTGTTTAACCCACTGTGGGCTTCAAGGCTGCTCTGGTATCTCCACCCTTAGTGTGAAGGCAATGTTTTAGCTGCAGTTTAATTAGAGAAAACTGGAATTACACTAGGAGGACTCTAATTCTGAAGGGACGTTAGCAAAACTGCAATTCTTTCATTAAACTGCAGACCTATGGCTGGTGAGTGACCATGAGATCCCAAATAATATTTCGCTCTTCTGCACAGAAGAAATTAAGGCAGCTTTGGTTAATTAAATGATGCTGATGATAACAACGTCAGTGTTAAAAACTGGAAAATTAAGTACGTACAACTACTGAGAACCCTCAGCTCAGAAAATAACCATTTCATATTTGCATTCACCATAAATAAAACCTTTCCTTGACCTTCAGAAAATGAGAGCTGCCTACTATATCAGCTAATGGGCAATCCTAAGTCAAGTGCCTTCAGACTCAAGATAAACTGTAAAAGCACCCGGCAAAACAATAATAAAGGACTGAGCAAGGCTGGGGAGCTACATCTGCGCAGCTGCTTCTTGCTTGAATGGTTTTATGCTTCCCTCAGTTCTCAGTTTCTCCTAATTGCCGACTTCGGCAAAATACAAATGTTTTGTCTTTGTTCTCCTCCAAACATTAGTACTTACAAGAACACAGAAAGCATATGCTTACCTGTCACAATGCCAGGGACTGGTTATACTGCCACTCTCTGAATACCCTTTTGAGGTTTTGCTCAGTACCCACAGGGCAGGTGTAATGGATGAAAACAGTTGTCTGATGAAGAATGCTATATTAATTTCGGAAATAAGCACCATCCCCCAGCGCCTGTGACAGCATGCCCTGGCTGGGCTCCGTGTGTCCCAATGCCTCCAAATGCTGAGCGGAGTCAAGCAAACTCTACTGCAGTAGAGCGAGGAAAAAGTTGGCATACCGAGGCAGAAGCCCTAACTTAAAATTCACGGGAACAGGAGCAGAACACAAGCAATACAGACAGTAATTTCTATAGCAACTAGATGAGAAAGCAGAAAGAAAGGGAAAAAAAAAAAAGAGTTGTTTCCTTAACTGCTAGCCCTGTCCCCCTCGGCACCTCTAGGATAGACACGCTGCATCCATGCCCAGCACATTCATCCCGTGCTGCCTTTCCCACTTCCCTGGGATGCATGGAGAGAACACACACCCCCCCACATGCCCTGCCAGCAGCCACGCTCCCACGGCATCCCTGCACTCACCGTCACGGGCTTCCTCCCCGCGACTGCAGTTGCTGCAAATGTGCTTGATCTCTTTGCCTATGTGACAGTGAATCACGAAGGAGACGTTGCCGGGGGCGGCGGGCTCCTTCAGGGGCTTCATCCTCACCAGGCAGAACGCCTTCCTCTTGGCCTTGTCGCCCACCGAGGGCAAGGCGAGCATGGCCGGCTGCGCCCCCGGCCGCGCGGCCGCCTCAGCCCGGCTGCCCTCCGTGACCAGCCGCCGAGCCTCTCCAATGGGCGCCGAGCCCCCGGATACCCATCCCGCTCCTTGCTGGGGCTTTCTTGCCCTCCTGGTGCTCCCTGCGGAGCTGCACGGACTCCCGTGGACACAATGGCAGAAGGACAACTACGGCAGTAGTGGCAGCTCTTAAGAGTGGTGCGAGTGTTGTTTCTTTAAATCTTCAGCGAGCTATCGGCTTGGCACTAAGCACACACAGTGTAACTGGGGCAGATAAAACCTGGTAGGGAATAATGCCATTCCTCTTGCTTTTAGCCAAAGCCCTTGTTTGCTGTTGGATGGAATCAATTCATTCTGCAATTCTTTATCATTTTTACTTATTGGTGCCACATGCCTTACAGCTGGAAGAGGCCAAAAGGGCCTGATTCTCTTCAGCTGCACATGAAACAGAGAGATTTTTACCTAAGTGAAGATGGAACAGAAATTTGAGGATTCAGTACTGTGATTTTCCACCGTTCTCCTCACACACACACACACAAATATACGCACACATGAAAGATGCATGCACTGAAACTGCTGACCTACTTGTTCAGCGTCACTCTGCTTCAGGTGTGACTGCTCACCTGGCACTATGGGGAGCTGAAACCTTGACATGACACATACAGAAGAAATGGCAAGGCTTTTTCTCAGCAGTGTTCACAAATCAGACCAAGTGCTGCTAGATCTCATTGAAATGGGGACTGAAGCATGTCCTCAGCAGAACTGTGCCGTTTATCAAGGTGTGCAAAGCATCCTGCATGCTGCCCTGTGCATGGGTTTGTGACAAATGCTACAGGTTAAGCACCTTGAAAGTCTTGATTTTGCACATGCTGTTCATCTTATAGCCTCGCCAGTTTCATTAGAAGTCTTAGAAAAGGGGGAATACAGGATTATTCAGAAACAAGCAGAAGATTTCCTAAAATGTGCATAGTACAGCTAAGAGTTTATGTGTTGAAAACCTGTCCTTTCATATGCCTGATGCCAAAACAGTGTTTACTACAGTACTACACACCGGGAATGTGAAATCTGAGAATTATTTGATCCCCTACCAGTCACACAGGAGTTCAGACACAGCGGATTTCCCACTAACGTACTCACTGTCTTTCAGAACACCTTCAGTTTGGCAGTGATTCAGAAAATAGAGAAGCAGCAAAGATGGCCAGAGTCGACCTTCTGAGCTTCCTTACAGCTCAGCACTGGCCTCCAGCACTGCTACATGATAGAAATGGGTCAAGAAAAGACAGCAAATTTCAATTTCTCTGAATTTGGAAAATGCAGGTGTTAGTCAAGTACTGGGCAAAATCAAGAATGAATACAGTATCTGCTTTCTCCAGACAGTATTGAGGTGGCTGCACTTTGGCTGATTTAGGATGGGAAATAAATGTAATATGCCAACAGAGCTTTTATGAGGGCTGGTGCAGTAGGGCAAATGGTCTTGTAGTTAAGGAAGTGGGTAAAGCTTAGGACATTTAAAAAAAAAAAAAAAAGGAGAGAGAAAAAAAAAGGGTCAGGTCATCAATCCTTTGCAGACATTCTCCATAACTTTAGAAAAAATTCTTACAACGTCTTGATATCCCAGCTCCTTGGCTAAAGAACAATGGTGATGCTTCTGATGTTCAGACAAGTTTTATAAAGAGAAACAGCAAGGTGCTCTGAAAGACTCTGTATAGCACAGAGGTGGAACACTTACACCGATCATTCAACTACAAATTTCTACTATTCATAGCAAGATGGGGGGGAAAGAGGAAAAAAAAAATCTACTAGGCCGAGTCCAAATGGTTCAATCAGTCCAAACTTCAAACTTGGATTTATTTGCAATAGTGTTTAACTCTTCTCTTCCAACTTTTTTGTATGTAAAATTGTAAAATTCAACTTAGATTTGAAAACAGCTTGGGTATGCAAAACCCTGCATTCTTCAGTGACTCAGTTATTCTCTCTCAAACCCAAACACCTATTAAAGAGGGACAGGAACAGTGGAAGCTGGAACAGCACCCTTCTCAGGCAGATACTCAAATGAGAATATCAGCAAAACTGTTCCTATAGTTCAGGCCTAAAGCTCTTCAGTGACTCTGTCCCGATTCAGATGTATTCAGCACTGTGAAAGAACCACCACAACATTGCTGGAGCAGACACAGCTTAACAAGTGGATCCCCGTAGAAAATCAGCTGTTCTGCCATGTTTGGGGAAGTTGGGGAGTTGAATAACTTGTCCAAAGGGTAACACAGATTCTGCCTGAACTTGAAGTCAAAATTATCAAGGAAAAAGGCTGGTGCAATTTTCCTTGCAGGTGCCCAAAACAAGTCCCAAAGCCATCTGCTAGTGTGCCTTTTGTAACACTCACTTCACTATAACATGCAAATTTGCCTTCACTCCTAAGAGCTGCCTTTATACCGATTCTGAATTTGCCACAACTCATAAGACAAAAATATGCTTAATTATGATCTGCGTAATTATGGTGAAAGCTGCCACTGCTAATCAGTTCCAGGACAAATAATGTAAGATAAACATACTACACTATTCCTGCAGGATATATCTTTAAAAACAAGATATACCAAGTAAAGTAAAAATAAATAAACAAATGAACAAACACAGTAACTCTTTCCGTTCACTGCCTCATCATGTTGTTGCAAAACCTGGCACAATGTTATTGCACTGTGGACACCAAAATCCATGAAAAGCATAAGGTTTGTAAATGAACAAATTTGGGTTCTTTTCCCAGTCCTACCATTCTCTTCTTTAATAACCTTGGGAGAACATTTATTTTTTCCAGTGCCACCTATCCTAGCTCTTCCCAAAAGAAAGAAAGAAAAAAAAAGTCCTTTCCACTGCCATTTAAGAGGAGAACAAAGCAACATCCTCTTAAAAAACAATGGACTCATGCCTACAGCAAAAACTTTAAGGCTCCATTTTTTCCACCATTTCTTCTGGAATAGGCCTCCCTTTTCCCCAAATCCCCTGTCTGAGCGCCTTTTTTTGGGTCGCCGTGCCCTGAAACAGAGAGAGATGGTGGGACCAGGCAGGCAACTATCAGGCAAGAACTTGACTGCATCCTCCACATGACAACAAGGAGCACAGAAAAGATTTTACTTCTCCCAAGCTGGGTGCACAAACAACCTGCTCCAATGCTGCGCATCCTCCTTCCTGTCTCTGGTACGGAAGAGTGGACTTTACAAACGGTGTGGGAGCCTCTCAGCTACATTGCCCACCAAGGTAATGAAAAGATTGTCTTGGAGGCTTACACTGAATCCCTGAAAAAGCTATAGCTTACAGAATGAACTTGTCCTGGTGGCTGCAGACTAAAACATTAGAAAAATGCAAGGCAGGGTTGCTTTCTCTTAGCATTTTAGTCTTTCTAAACAAAATACTGTGGTTCTCTTGTGTTACAAAAGTCTATTCAGACATGGATGTTCTTGAAAGGATGCCTCTATAGTTGGCCTTTTTTTTTTTTCTAAATATTTCCCTTTCCTTCCTATTTCTTCTGCCCACTGTATTATGAATCTCAGAATAAAAAATAAAAATAAATGATCACCAGCTCTGGTGTTTAATGTGTATATCTATGTTGCATTATATGTACGGAAACACACCAATCAACTTGGAATGAAAAGGAAAATACGTTCAATTTGATCCACTGACAACAAAAGGGCAATCAGCCCCAAAGACAATACCCCATTTGTAGCAACAGCCACTCCTTGTCGAGAAAAGGCCTCAGAGTCACCTCAGAAAGCTGATGCTTGCCAAAGCGATTTGTTGCCTAGTGGAGAAACTTCTATGTACAAGCCACAACTCAAAACTAGATACATTATGTGCTGGTACTTTCTGTTTCCTGGACAATTAGTATAGCAGGACTCTGGTCCATGACAGGGGCTCCAGGGTGCTAGGCTGACACTATTTCTGTGTATTTCTGCTTACTGCATGGAGCATCAGCAAAACCTGGAGGACAAGGAGGAGGGGGAATCAGCCTGAGACTCCTGCAGGCCAAAATAGAAGATGACCTTTTCAGTTCTGCAGCTATAAACACATTCTTCATCAGCAATCCCAGCTACTCCTCACAGCCATGAGCCCAAGAGAGCCAGGTGAAGAGCGCTGCAGAAACAAAACCAAACTGAAGGGAGAAGGAAGGAAAGAGAACACCCTTTCTCGGCTCCCCTACATTCAGCAATGCTGCTGAAGAATCTTGTGGCTCATTCGCGCTATTCTTGTAGGGCTCTCCATTTTCTGTGCGCCACTTTGCCTTGATGAGATCCCCTCCTTACTTAGCAGAAATTCTGCTCTATTTCAGTGTGACACCATATGGTGTAATGAAAATGAATAGAAAAGGTTACACACACAAAAAGAATAAACTTAGAAACACCTGTTTGCTGCAAGTGTGAAGAACTGCTGATGGTAAAGGACTTTTAAGGATAAAAAGGAAGACGCATATGTCATCGCATCCTTCAGAGAGGCAGAGAGTTGCTGAACTGCCATTTGATTGTCCAACGGTGCACACACAAAACATATTTGTGGACACAACATTCAAATGTCAAACATCTATGTGAAATTAATGCACAAAGACTTCATGGAGTCAAAGGTAAACACAAGAAATGAATTGATGGGGAGACTGGACTTGTAACATGGCGGGGTGATCATTAGCATTAGATGACAGGCAGAGGAAGAGAAAATCATTAAGCAGAAATTATAGGTGAAGTTCTAACCCTAGCAGAGTCCCCATAAGTCTTAGCACTAAAACAGTCAGTCACAACAGTCCTAACAAGGTCACTAACTCCCTGTATTTTTGTATCTGATTTAGATGTCAGTGGTTGTATTTAAACCAACTAGCAGGTAGGCAAAGTGGCATGCTCCAGGGTTTCAGTGGTCTGTTTGG